TTCAGCGCATAGACAGTTATGATATGATTCCACATGTTCATAGCTTACCTACACATATTCATGTAAACAAGAGACATTAAACCTAGCACGCTAAATGGCGCTGAACACTTTTTTCTTCTATTACAGGAACAGCCTACAAGGTTGCATCGCTCTGAATCAGTATATATCTTTTCTTTGTTCATCTGGAGGTGTCCATCAAATTAATGAAGATGATCCTCTACTTAACATGGTCGTAATCAGTATTTTACGGACCAAGAAAGAGCTGAGTTCTGGATGGCGAAATCTGTGCAGTGTCTGTCTATATAGATGCCATCTTGGAGCTATTCTGCCTGTTCATATTTCAGTTCCATTTTGCCTAAAACCGCAAGAGCCGTTCTGGATGGTGTGACCGACTAATCCAAGTTATGAAATATGTGCCCTGCATATAGATTCCTGTATATATCTCAGATTCAGTTCCTTTTGCCTAGAACTCACCTATGCACAATCCTCTTATGGACGTCTTGACTAAGCTGAAGGAATTGTGTTCAATTCTTGTCACCATGTGGTACTGTATGTAGTATCTTGTTCTGTGGCAAAATTGGTTTAGTGACGCTGAATTTCAACTGTGCTCAATTTTGATGTTTGGACTATGCAGGTTGGTCTACACTGCAATCTAGATGTGTAGTAACACTAAAAACCTACTCCCTCCGTTTCACAATATAAGTCATTCTAGTATTTCTCACATTCATATTGATGTTAATGAATCTAGATAGATATATATGTCTAGATTCATTAACATCAATATGAATGTGGAAAATGCTACAATGATTTACATTGTGAAACGGAGGAAGTACCAAACCTACTAGAGAGGGCGAAGGGTAGGAACACCAAAAATTACATAAATAATTCATGTATTACTAAAATTATAATATAGCTTTGAAAATTCCACTAAAATTTCATATAGTATTTTAGTTTATGGATAATTTAGGAAAAATAACTCGCACCGTGATTTATTAATAATTTTTTATTCTCCTGTTTACTTCATTAAACTTAATTCATTTTTGCACATTATTATAAATTCTAAAAACATTAAGTAATTTTTGACAGCTTACAAATTCAGGCCATGGTGCTTTCAATCATGAACTTAAGACATTTGCCGGTTGGTCTCTTATAAAAAAATATTTGTCCCGGTTGGTCTCTTATAGAAAAACATTTGTCATGATATATCATTGGATTAGTTCATGTCAATTTGTCTTTGGTCTCAATGACGAACATCTCATTTTTGTCACTAAGCAACACAATCCTCCTACCAAACGTCATAAAACTAAATGGCATAATAACGAATCGAGGATCGAATTCGTCACTGAAAGTAACATGTGTTTTATATTAAGTCTTGGTTTGCCAGGAACTAAATCAACAGAAAGAACAAGCTTATAGTTGGAGAGAGAAGCAAGACATAGAGCGGAACAAAAAGTATGTGCTTTAAAAGAAGGGATGCAACAGCTGGAAGAAAGAATGGAAGAACGAATGGAGAGACGACTTGCAGAGAAAATGGCAGAATTTAAAGCTATGAAGCATACTTCTCCTGAACAAAGGCATTCCTTGAACAAGCCAATTGAGGAGCACTCATGCTCATCTGCCTCAAACAATATAAAAGATCATAGTTCATTTTGCATAACCTCAATTGTACTGGTATTATTATTCAGGAACTATAAACTTCTATCTTTTTTCCTTGATTTTAGATACAACCAAGAATTGTTGAAGCATTGCAACTAAATCAGAAGAGGCCTGCTATGAAGGTAACTTCAATGACATTTACTTTTCTCCATATTTTTCAACTCAATGTGCTAGTCTAGTTTCATCTAATGGTTTTTTTTTCCTTTGTTGAATACAGATACAACCAAGAATTGCTAGAGAATTGCAGCTTAGTCTGAACAAACATGCTAGGAAGGTGAGCTAATGGAAACTAATTCATTTCCTTCGTCTGAAGTACTTCTAGAATAGTCCTAAAGTTAGAACATGGTCTAGAATAGTCTAGAAGCTGGTGCATGTTAGTTTAAAATATGATTTTTGGTGAATGAAATGCAGGTAGCCATCTAGCTTGCTTGTTGCTTTATTCTTCTCCTAGCTAGTTGGTTGCTTTATTCTTCTTTGTTTGTCCCCTGCTCAAGCTCTTCTCGAACAGATAGTAGTTGTGCTTAGTACGATGCACTAACAATAACTTCGACTTTACTTTATCTTGCTCAAGTCAATGCACCAGTATTGTTTGCGGCATTAAGAATTATTTTTTAAAATACAGGTACAACCAAGAATTGTTGAAGAATCTCAGCTTAATCATAACAGACATGATGGGATGGTGAGTGAATAACGATGACTTTGCTTCATATTTTTCAAGTCAATGCACTAGTATTATTTGGAATTAGTATAGACTTATTTATTTTTTGTTGAATATAGGTGCAACCAGGAGTTGCCAGAGAATCGCAAGTTAATCAAAATATGCATGTTACGAAGGTGAGCTGAATAACATCGATTTTACTTCATTTTTCAAGTCAAACTGTAACATATCTTAAGTCTTGTAGGATTCATTGAGAAGGGTTGATGCTACATGTAATGTACAACAGGGGGTAGAAAAAGATGTGGACAATCACAATTGTACCAAGCAACCAAGAATGACAAAAAAAACGTTGTGGAGAAACAACAAGCAATCATGCCACAAGTAAACGCTCTAAAGTTCCAACTGTGATCACTCAAAATGCTGCTGAAGTTTGTATATGGATATATGGTATTTATTTGGAACGCACTATATTACCACCATGCATTTCTGTTGCTTAATGCATGCTAATAGGTTGACAACAGTAACATCTTCTATTGTGTAACAGGGGGTACAGAAGCATATAGCCAGGTACAATAACAACAAGCCTACTAAAATTGAAGGGGCCAATGTGGGAACAACTAAACATGCTAAGGTCAAAAGGGCAGCATTAGCTTGTGAAAATGTGGTTAGTTCTTTTTTATTACTACAAAACAGTAGCAACTATTCTACTTTCTACTCTGTAATAAAATCTGATGTGGCTACATTTTGAAATAGGTTGGAAGGGATGTCTTTCTTAAGAGAATTGTTCGTCCATATAACCGTGTTGCAAGAGCTACTATTCAAAGTCAAGACCCCTTAGAAATGGTCGGAGGAACAATGCTGGGAAGGGAGTGCTACAAAGTAGTGATAGACAGTCTTATATGTGGAGATGCTGAATTGTTCCGGCCGCATAGAAATTTGAACTATATTAGAGACGCTATTGGTCATTGCATTGCATGGCCATCCCAACTAGTATGTTCCTTTCTTGGCTTCTTTGTTTTATTGCTTAGTTTACATAGCAAGTCTAACATGGTAAATATCAATTTGAAATGTTGAAGAAGTGTCACCTCAGTGCAATGGGGAAGTGACAAAAACAGGTATATGTGCCATTTATGTTGGGTATATATAGAGTATTTACATCATTTTTATTCTGGAAATTTCATTGAGCAAAATATAAGTATGCAAAAGATAGAAATGCTATTGTAATTTGGATTGCCATATACTTTAAAACCTCAATAGGTGCAGTCTATTTTACATAGAAATGTACTTCTGTTCAAAATGTTTAATCATAGGTCTCTAGCATTTCCTTCTCTGTATAATTAGTTCCTGCTATACTTTGGATTGTTTTGTCAATTTTTCTTTGGTAGTAAACTCAATTTCCATGCTCATGATCATATTTTATGTTCTTTATTTAAATAAAGATAGTGACATTGTTTGTTTGTGTTAACTGAATTTTACATATTTACACTCCAGGTGCTCGAGTTTCTCTCAAACGGTGATGATTGTCGATCATGTTCAACTATAGAAAATTGGCGAGAACTTCTTAGAAGAGATAGCTCAAACATGAGCAGTAATTATATATCTACACTTTTGAGTAGTTGATTGTCTCAACACTTGTAAATGCCACATATGAATTGGAGTTCAGACATATTAGTTCACTTTAATGCCTATATTAAGACCACCAGAATGTTGTTATAGTCTAAGTGACGGATGAGATGCTATGTATTATTTATTGGACATGTATGATTGGATGTACTGCTAATATATGAATGAAGTGATTTGGATACTATTTAATTTCTTATTGTTTCAATTGTCAAGTTTTCATGTTTTCATGATGATGAAAATGTGTATTTCCCACAATAATAATCTAGGAAATATAATTAATTTGATGCATCCTACATTGAGGCAGGTTACAGTTGCCTCAATTTGTTTTGAGGCAGCAGTAATAGCCTCGGTAGCGTACCCTAGCATTGAGGCATGCGGTATGCCTCAATCAAATTCTGAGGCATACATGGTTAGCCTCAAATACACCTTTTAGAGGCCAACTCTTATGCCTGGCTCAATATACTATTTTGAGGCAGGAGTATCCGAGGCAGTGAATGTTGGCCTCAATACATATTCTGAGGCGGATTTTTTGGGATTTTGAGGCTGATTAGCTCGCCTCTAAATGTGTATCATCCTGTAGTGGGAATTCGTCACTGAAAGTAACATGTGTTTTATATTAAGTGTGCTCGTATTTACATCTAATCAGGGTTAAACTTCGGTTTAGCTAATTTGATTGGACCTCACCGAAATTTCCGACATTTTTGAACAAAATTTAGTTGAATTCGAACAAATATTACCAAAATTCACGAAAAATTTAAAAAAAATAAAAATTTTCGGCTGAAATAATATCGTATCAGAGGGGTCTAGTCCGAAATTTCCAACCATGCATCTAATTATTCCTTTAGTAGAAAGTGACATGCCCGTTGATACCGATGTGTTTATAGGGAATTCGTGAATCTAAATATATATCGTTAAAATCTTTCAAATGTGCTAACTATTAGAGTAGAGCGTGCGTACATGCGTTCGTCGGAGTAAGTGTACGTGTGTTTTAATCGTCTATGTTTGTAAAAAAAAAAGATCCATTTCTCGAGCTCCTAGCTCACGATGTTTTGGAACAAGGCAATTTCGTAGGAATTTCTACATAAATTAAATTGTTTGACGAATCATTTCGAATTTCACATGGAATTCAAATACACATGTCCACACATTATTAATTCCCACAGTCACGTGCGTCAAACGGCTAGCTAGCTTAGCCTTTGACCACCCTTGTTCCCACCAGCGAGGAGCACCTCGTGGATGAGCCGATCCAGCCCACACTCCGCGGGCCCACCCGGCCGCGCCGCCCTCGCCGCCGCCTCCTTCCACCCCGCCGCGCGCCGTCGCATCTCCGCCCCCTTCTCCCCCTCCATGGCCTCCCGTATCAGCGCCGCCACCTCCCCTCGCCGCGCCTCGCCGCCGATCTCCATCCCGACGCCCCACTCCGTCCGCTTGTACCGGCAGTTCGTCTGCTGCTCCGCGAAGAACGGCCAGCTCAGCATCGGCACGCCCGCGGCGAGGCTCTCCAGCGTCGAGTTCCACCCGGAGTGCGTCAGGAACACGCCCACCGCAGGGTGTTCGATCACCTGCTCCTGCGGGCACCACGTCGTCAGCAGCCCGCGGCCCTCCACGGCGGCGAGGAACTCCGGCGGCAGCATGGCGGCGTCGCCCTTGACGAGGTCGGGGCGCACGTTCCAGAGGAACGGGTAGCCGCTGTGAGCGAGGCCCCAGGCGAACTCGAGGAGCTGCTCGTTCGTCATCACGGCGATGCTGCCGTAGTTGACGTACACGACGGAGCGCGGCGGCCGGCCGTCGAGCCACTCGAGAAGGCCGCCCTGCTCCTTCCAGAGGTTGGCGCCGACGGCGACGTCGAGCTGGGAGCCCGCGGGGACGGCGCGGCGGACCTGGAGGAGGAGCGGGCCGACGGCGTAGACGGGCGGCGGGAGGACCCTGGGCATTTCGTCGAGCGCCTGGCGCTCGAGGTCGTCGAAGGTGTTGACGATGATGGCGTCGGGGAGGGAGAGGCGCTCGCACTCGCGCATGAGGAAGTTGAGCATGGTGTCCCCGCGGTCCGTGGTGCGGATGAAGCTCGGGAGGTCGCGGAGCCGGACGCCGTCGCACATGCCGCGCGCGCCGTCGACCACCGTGTCGAGGTACCCGTCGGTGAGCTGCGCCGCGTCCCTGAGCGGCACGAGGCCCCGCTCCACGAGATGCCGGTAGTGGCGGTACCCCATGAGCCCGCACGCGCTGGCCGTCCACAGCGCGGCGCACGGCACGCCGATCCGCCTCGCCGCGTCGTACGCGAACGACATGACGCCGTCGCAGACGACGCACGTCACCGGCGGCGCCGCGGCGGCGTCGGCGTTGATCGTGGCGAGGAGCGCGTCGAGGTGGGGGAGGCAGGTGGTCATGGTGGAGTAGCAGAGCGCGGGGATGTCCTGGGTGGCGTCGGGGTCGGAGGGCGGGAGGCCGTCGGGGATGCCGGCGAAGCGGAACCCGGGGACGACGCCGTCGAGCGCGGCGGCGCCACGGGTGGCGAGGAGGCGGCGGTGGTTGAACTCGGTGTTGACGAAGGTGACGTGGAAGCCGCGCGCGTGGAGCAGCTTGGCCAGCTTCAGCATCGGCGTGACGTGGCCCTGCGCCGGGTACGGCACCATCACGGCGTGGTGCTGCCGCCTCGCCGTCGCCGTCGATCCCATCTCCGGCTCTCTCTGGTCAGCTCAGTGATGAGCTGCTGTGCTTGGAAGGCAATGAGCACTCGTGTACTGTGGAGATGTTCGTTTTTATAGCAGGAGATGCACGCGTGGGGCGCATGGCGGAGTTGTTTTATGTATGGACATGGGTGGCCACATGGTTTTTCGCGTGGGACCAGGTGAGACTGGAGAGAGCATCGAGTTTTGTGACTTTTGTCCCGAATAGTAGGGGCGTCTCATTGTATCAAGTGTGCCATGCGTATGGTATCATGTGGAGACAAAGCTGGAGATGTGAGAATACATTATATGCTATTGAGTTTATCATATATCTATGATCCATCACTGACTTTATCACGTTCTACGATATGCAATTGGCTTTGTTTAACTTCTATAATTTACCATCACCGTCCGATTAGCCTTCATTAATACTTTACAATTTTGTTTAAATGACCAAAATAGCTTTATGAGAATAACTTCCGAAATTTATCATAGGACAGTCATTATGGATTTTGACTGAGACCCTCTTAAATCTTGCAAATATATACCATTGGATCGCTTTGAGATTCATGCAAACATATATACCCAAATCTTTTTTTCTCTTTGTCTTCCTCAATCCCGCCCATCGCCGCCGCTTTCGTGCGCTCACGCAAAACCTTCGGCTCTGTCTCCTGCTCCTCCGCTACCTCTCCAGCTGGTCAGAAGGGGTCAACAGCACCGATGAGCCCCCTCTCCCACCTTGGTCGGCCTTCTCCCCCTCCTCCTCTCTCTTTCCCAAGGCAACGTCGCCGAGTCCCTTGTTTCGCCGTCTTCCCCGTCTCTGGTGGCTCCCGGTCGCCAGATACGGCATCATCGGCTGTTGCCTTCTAACCAGTCTCGTTATTTGCCCGGCCGCTAACGTTGGCCCACCGCCTCCTGCCATCCCTATGGCTCTAGTGCCACCATTGGTGCCTTACCGCCCACCGCTGCCCACGCCCATCCCTCTAAACCTTGGGGAACTACCTTCTTCCCCCGCCACATCCCCACTCCTACTCTAACAATCCAACCCCAAATCCTAATCCATATATATGTCCCCTGTCGGAGTTGGGGGCATCGCCGGCACCGGAGAAGAGTGAGAGCTCGTCGGGGTTGGGGGAGAAAAAGCGCGGGCACGAATCTTGGCGCCAATCCAACAGTCTAAAATCTGTAAAATATTGCCCCTAAATTTTTGTACAATGACATTTAGCATTTCGAATTTATTATTATATTATATACTCCCTCGTCGCGAATTTATTATTATATTATATACTCCCTCGTCGTTTCATATTAAATGATGTTAATTTTGATTATTTTCTTAGGGTGTGTTTGAGGAGAAGGGGATTGAGGAGATTGGGAAGATACGCAAACGAGGTGAGCTATTAACTCATGATTAATTAAGTATTAACTATTTTAAATTTCAAAAATGGATTAATATGATTTTTTAAAGCAACTTTCCTATAGAAATTTTTTGCAAAAAATATACCGTTTAGTAGTTTGGGAAACGTGCGCGTGGAAAACAAAACAAACAAACTCACTCTCTCGCCCTCTCGAACGCTGCCTTAGTCAACCTCCTTTTAACTTTAGCTAAGTTTATAGAAATACTCCCCGCGTACTCGTAAAGGAAGTCGTTTAGGACAATGTTTAAGTCAAACCTTGGAAATATAAATCATGAATAACTCTCAAATTGTTAAGTTTAAAATGTAAAAGTTATATGAATGGATTTTTCTTGAAAAATACTTTCATAAAAGTATACATATATCACTTTTCAATAAATATTTTTATAGAAATAAGAAGTCAAAGTTATGTTTTGGAGACCGTGTCGCTGTCCTAAACGACTTCTTTTACGAGTACGGAGGGAGTATTTAGCAACATATTTGTTTATGATAATATCCCGGATACTCCTGGAAATCTCCTTGTACCGCAGCCTGCATTTCACTGAGTAGTGGTCTGATACTCCAATGTCCGAAATTGCTCAGTTTTTTAAACTTTGCAATTTCGAAGGCCAATTGTACAGAGCAATGAGTTCAGCTTAAAGAGGGGACGTTGCCACGGTACTGTTCGCCTTTGATCAAGAGCGCATTAATTATGATCATTAGAGTGATGGAATAGGATTCCAGTGCATTATCATGTGATGTGATACGATCGATGGGATCGTCCTCATGCATGGGCGCAAGATCTACTCCAGTATGGCATTGAATTTTGGACATCCGATCCATATAAGTACTCATCTTATTTAAAAATTTATATAATAACAAGGAATGTAGCCCGCGCATTCACACGGGAATGTATCGTAGTCTCTCTTATTTAAATAAAAATCATTTTGTCGTGGTCATATATAAACTCCCCTGTTGTTATTGTCTTAAAGCTATGTGCCTTTTTAATAAATGAAACTGAATTAGTACCACTAAAATAAATTATATATTATTAATACACTAAAAAAATCATCTACACTGCATAACTCGATGTCCATCACTTATTTCCACATCTATGTATAAATAGTCTGAACATACCACTTCTACCGGATAATAATACGATAACACCGTTAAAAATAAACATAAATGTCACTCTAACGGATAAAGTCGATAACTACCAAAGCTTTCTTATGTAATACCCTGAAACATGGGTCCCACATTGACGTAGCCGTGCATCTAAAGACCAGCCTATGGCACCATTTTAACACTTAGTTCACTATGGGCACACCCACAAAGGATTGCATTAGTAAGAATGTCACTTTAGATACATTGCCTATATTGGTTTTTTACTGACGCCATCTTAACTCAACCATATGCATATGCCTGCGATATTTACGATAGTATAGTAAACACTACACCCTGCATTGAATGACAGGGATGGACAAAAAGGAGGAGGTGATGAAAATAGTTATAATTTTTGCACCTACTTATTTTTGCGTGGTATTATTTTTAACAAAATCGTAATTTAAAGACTATTGACAACAATAAGTGCCGGCGTTTATGATTTTTCTTATTAGTATTTTCTTTCTGATTTTACTATTAATATATTGATATATTTTTTATTTATCGTTTTGTCCATTGTATATGACGTAGGTAATTAAGTTTTTTTTTTGAAAGTGAGACGATCATAAATATAGGCAGTTTGGTTTTCCATCTAATAAGTGAGAAAATAAAAGGAAAAAAAAGAATTATGTGAGCCCAGCGTCGTACTTACGTATCAAAGTATGGACATACTTGTTTTTTTATACCTATATGTGCACGTACAATGCGAGTTTTTAGATAATTTAATTGTATTTTTTATAATAGATCTAATGGTTATAAATATGGGCCCACCGTAAGCCCCTTCTTCATAAGATCAAGAAAGTACGAGCGTCTTTCGTATTCTAAAATTTTTTAAAACGCCACGTGGTGACTTAGCAGTGTTTAATGGACTTTTAGTAGATAATAATAGATAGATTGAAGATTAGGAAAGGGAAGGGGAGATGAGGGGAGAGAGGGAGTACGTACCTTACGTACCAACTGGAGGAGGAGGGGAATGTAGAGGAGGTGGGGACCGGTGTGGAGAGGAGGATTTTATTTTTTATTTAATCTAATGGTTGAAAATATTGGACCTAGCAATTTAAAGGAAAATCAACGGTTAGATTTTTAGACTGCCACTTGGCATCTTTGGAGCGTTTGTTGGAGGACACGTGGCGGCTTAGGAGCGCTTATAGGAAGTTTAATAGACTTTTAAGTATATAATATAATAGATAGATGATTTATCTTCTTGTGATTTTTATGATTGGAGGTACTTTTTAGCATAACTTATATTTTTATATACTAGTAGAATTTTAAAATTTATACTTTCTCTGTTTCACAATGTAAGACTCTCTATCATTGTTCACATTCATATATATACTAATAAATCTATATATATAATAATATCTAGATTCATTAGCATCTATATGAATGTGCGCAATGCTAGAAAGTCTTACATTGTGAAACGGAGGGAGTAGATGAATAATCAAATATATCTATTCTAAAGTCAACAATATCATCCATTAAAAACAAAAATAGGAGAGAGTATATTTTAGGCTACTACAGGACTATCAGTTATGCAAAGCGTGGACGGGGCGCAGCTCGTGGCTAATAGAAAAACAGGGAACCAGCCAGATGTGTTGGGAAATAACAATAACGTATTATGCATTTGATTATCGCAAATTGTTATAACGCGACAAATACGTATAGCGAAACTGGGTAGTTATATACAGCTTCAGCTTGGAGGGTATATATGATCTGTCTGTTTTAGGTGAAGGATTGTTTATTTGTATTACCACCTACTGAATCGATTCGATGCGCGATATCATCATATTTTATGGGAACACATGCATTTACTTAACTCCCGAAGTATTGGACTTGACTTCAAATAATCTTAAGTGGTTTATAAAGAGTTTTAGAATAATAATTTTAATTATTTTTATATGTGGGATTTTGTTTTATTTTTCTCTAAGCTTGAATTATCATCCAAGGCTCAGAGAAGGCTGGTGACTTCTTTTTAAGAAAAAAGTGACTTTTTTATTAAAAAAAAGAAAAAAGAGAGTTTCTCCGGTGCTTGGAAATGAAGATGACCGTTGATCCAACCTAATCTAATGGTTTACAATACAAGGTACCTATAAAAAGGTACTTAAAAAGTAGGCCAGATATTAGCTTATAGATTGGTTGAAAGGTTAGATCGGTAATTTTGTCTATAGTATCATATTAGATCGGTATAAGAAGTTCAGTTGTTCTTCGTAAATCTGTTGTTTGGGATCATGGAGCAGTTCTGTATGGTGAATGGCCCTGGAGGCCCGGATGTATTATGAAGTTCCCGTTATCGATTACAGGGAACAAACATGCGTTTAGAGGTGGAAGAGAAGGCCGATTGCACATACTGAAAGAGCTATGTAATTGATCAGTAATCCATTAATCACAAACTGTGTAAATGACAATAAACTGATAATTGATCAATAGCTAAGGCCATATGTAACTGTGAAATAAAGCATGATTAAAATTAAAGTATATCTTGCTTTCGCACAAATGGGTTTACAAGAATGACTAAAAGTCAAATTTTAGATATCAACCATTAGAGGCAAGAAGAAATTAATTAGATTTGGTTTAGTGGATGAAGCCTGCGTAGGTGGCAGTGATATAGTGGGTGAAAACATAGTGATTAGAGTTTCCCCCATATAGTGATGGTATCGAGCAACAAGTGGAAATGAGAATTAGTGAATTGGGGCTTGTATCCAGCGGCCAGTTCATCAATCTGGCTAAAAATTAATTAGACGTAGCAGCAAACAACCAGGAATGAGTACAGAGGCTGTTACGGCTGAAACAATTGCTAAATTACCATTGTAGTGCTTTCCCTAAGTTGC